GTATGCACTAAGTATAAGCAATAGTAATAGTGATTCTTGTCTTATCAAACGTCTCTACCAAAGTATTGAGCATAAAATCCCAATAGCCCAATAAAGTTGTAGTGACATTAACATAAATTATCAAAAAATCATTAACTTGTGTAGCCTACAGATAGTCATAAAGCAGGGCGTGTATGAGCGTGTGAGCATTTCCTCACTGAGTTACATCAGGAGGGGCAAGTTAGGTTATGTTTGCAGGACAGGGTTCAGCACCACATCTGGTACAATCTTGTTTCATTTTCTCTGGTGCTTGTCTTTGACTCACTCTCAGATATTAAAAGTCACAGAACAATATCAGACCTGTCAATCACCTAACATCTTAAAGGGCCTGCTGCCCGACGTCTAAATGTACACCGATACAGATCAGTCTATGAATCTGTCAGTCACTCAGGTCTCATGGGCAGCACTTCTACAATATACAATTCAATATACCCTTTCTTGTATGGAATCTCTCCCTATATACCCGCAGGAATCATGAACAATTATAAAATATCGAATTCACTGTAGCTTTCCCATTTGTCTCAAAACGCACCATCTCCAAGGCAACCAGCATCGAAAAGTGCTGTGGGGTACGCATGCTGTCAGAAGAGTGATGGTAGATTTGTGCAACATTAGAAACTAGAACTGTTTAGATGATACAAGTGTATGTGTGTGTGTGTGTGTGTGTACGCTTATACAGTTGTAGGAGTACATATATGCATGTGTGAGTGAGTACTGTATGTGTGTGTGTTTATGGGTGGACAATAAAAACATTAATTTTCATCAAAGCACTCAAGGCACAGGACTCTGATCTATGAATCCCTGTGGGAGGCTGCACTACAGGGAACACACACACACACACAGATCCTCTAATCAAACTCTCTTTAATGGAATGATGGTGTTTAATTATGCCACGGAGCCCCGTTAGCACGCTGACTCATAAAGACGAGTAGGGCGCACAGTAACGCATGCATAAGTGCACGGGTACACACCAAAACACTCCATTAATAATATGGTGAAGAGAATAAGTGGACATCAGGTCAGTTTATAGTTCTTGGACATTCTTGGCAGTACAGAAGAGGACAAGAAGGCACTTATCGAAAAGTGAACTGAAGAACATGGAGGCTGTTGGAAAAGACATCCCAACTTTCAAATAAAAGAAACAATCAATGGACAAAGGCAACATCTAGTTTTGTGTGTGAGTGAACTATCCTTTTAAACATGAGAAATGGGCAACGGCTGGTGATTCAGTAGCTTTTTGCACCTGTTCTCTGCTCTTTTTTTTTTAGCACAGAAACCTGTCAGTGCATGGAAAAAAACTCTTGTCTGGAAATAGCTGTCCAAGGGCATTATCAAGATGCCCACAGACTGGACTGATGCTGCCATTAGGTGATGTCAGAATGGCACAAGAACGCCACCACAATGCTGTAATTACCAGTGGTCAACCCGGTATTTTCTTTGAGCCCTGTAGTTCAGAGTTGACCTAGTCATTTACAGAATCATCACGGGAGCCACTGTAATTGTTATTGTAACTAGTTTAGTTTAGTAGTTTGTACACATGTTGAAGAGTAGCTGTCAAACCCATAGCCTTGTGTGCAGCAATCCAACAAACTCTACTGCCCATCCCATTCCCCTCTTCTTACTTCCTGTCTCTCCACAATCCCACTCATGCAATAAAGGCATCGATGTCCAGAAGACCTTTTGAAAATTGCCAAATGCATACATTTTATTTCAACCAGACTGCTTTATTCCAATACATCCCATTTTAATTACAATTAGCAAAGTCAGACGTAGGAACTTGCAATGAAAATGAAATATTAAGTAGGAACAATGCTGCCAATTAAATTCTAATATTTAATTCTGACATCCAATCAATGAATTCATTGCTGAACATTTCGACTGGTTAAGGGGATAGATGCAGGTCATCATGCTTGGCAATAAAAGGAGAACAACTTGACTTTAAAGGCCTCAGTGCATCGCAGCGCTGCAATCTCTCTCATCTCTCCCCACAGTTACAAAACACCACATCAACAAAGTTTGCACCAAGCGCAGCTGGATAAAAATACACCACCTTTGGTAACCCAAAGCGATGAGAACTTGTCTTCTCTACACTCTCATCATGCCTCAGTCTATCTCTCCATCTCTCTTGCACCTACTGTAGGGAAACGACAGAACTTCATTTCATTACCTACAGTGTGAAGGCACGGCATCAAAGAAACTACAATGCGCTCCTCACTCAATGCTAGTTGCCACGGCAACAATATAATGGACATTATATAGCTAATAAATAGTGAGGAGGAGGAGGAAGATGGAAAAAAAAGAAGATGGGGTGAACGAAAGCATGAAAATGTGAGATCTATTCCTGGAGCTGCAGAGAGAGGACTTCAATGCCTTTACTGTGATTTCGGCTCTGATCCGTGGCTTCAATCACAACAGCGTTTGGAAATCATGTCTTGGCCTCTCAGAGGAGATGCTAACGTGATTCCAGTGATGGCGCTTTTTACATTTTTTTTTTTTTTACATCATATGCCAGCAGAATTAAATAAAAGTACCATCGACAGAAGGCACTGCTAGATGTTGATAACCTACAAATCGGCTTCTGTTCCAGGCAAGAAGGCAAAGAACCTCAGAACGTCACGCTACCAGATGAAACACCCTAGAAACCCCTTGAAATGCCACCATACAAAGTCCTGCGACAGTGGGACAGAAGACACGTGTATTAGGGCAGAACAACAGGGAGCCGCCATCAAAGAGAAGAGGAGAGCACCCCTCCATTTGAAAAGCCCCATGTTAGACTGGAGAGTGACTGAGATGAAAAGGCCCTTTTCACAGTGGAGACCTGGCAAACAGAGATATGAACTTCCCTGTAGTGGCAAAAGGGTTTTGAATGCAACAGTGATATTTCCTTCACCATCCATCACTATCACCATTTGCTTTCCTTAAGAGATTGCTTGTCTTGTACAGAGGGAATGACGTATAATGTGGCCAGGGAGAGTCGTGTAACTCACAGGCCAAATGAGGCTTTAGTTTAAGGGTTGCCAGGACCTTCAGCCACACACATCCACAGGTAGGGAGAATTTCAGGAGCGATACAGAAGAAATAATGGCATCCTTTGGGATCTATACAAGTGATTGAGTTTAATAAATGGTAGAAAGGTTTGACAGCTCAGTCTAACAGCACAATTCAAAATCAACTTTTTTGCCACACCTGCCAATGGGGAGTGTATTTACCAGCCATAAATACTTACCACTGCATGAAAAGAATTGTGCATTATTTAATCATTTTTTTATAAAATATAATATAGTATAATAATATAATATAATTAATATGTAAACATTTTTTTTTTTAAATATGTATTTTTATACGTAAAAAAATAAGATAATTACATTCTAAAAGAAACATAATTATCATATATTTATATGTGTGTGTGTGTGTGTGTGTGTGTGTGTGTGTGTGTGTGTGTGTGTGTGTGTGTGTGTGTGTGTGTACTTTTTATGGCTGATAAGAAACTATTTAATAAATATATTAAATAGTTTCTTATCAGCCATAAAAAGTACTGGACAATATTTCGTTTATTTTTTATTTTTTTTATATATAATATAATAGTAATTGTAACATCTATATCTATCTATCTACCTCTCTAAAAAAAGTACAATAATAAAGTACATTTCTTTATAAAAATTAGGTAAATAATTAGGTTGAAAATAATATATACTGTATTTATAACTGTAATACTTGAATTATCATAATATTACAACTAATTCTCCTGAGTGAGTGAGTCAGACTCTATCTTTATGTGAAACCGTACCTGCCGCAAAAACGACAAAAAGACACATCATTATTTTGTTTCTCATATTGATCCTGAGTTATTGAGTTATTTCACATCTGGTGGAAAAATAAAAAATGCTATTAAAAAAAATCCTTAATTGTCAAAATATTTTTACTGGACAACTCACAAATAACTGTTTTATTTACTCACCAAACACAATTATTTCTAACAAGTGGTGTGCTAATTTTGGATGCTACCTGACTGCAGGAGGAAAGTAAAAAATGCACTTAACAAAGGTAGCTTTTGCAACATCCCCCCTGTTACCGTATCTAAACTAAAAGAGCATACTTGGCAAAAGTGAATAAGCACTAACTCTTATAATTAGATTCTCTCTCTCCCACCTCCCTACTTTCCCCCTATTTCTCTGAGCACATGCGTCAGGGGATCAGGGTGCCAGACAAGCATGTGAGAAGCATTAGTGAAATCCAACGGACTGCAAAGTACACCAGCGTCACCATGACTACCCCACCTCAGCACCAGGATGACATCGCCATGGAAACAGCATCAACTGCCCACTCGACCAGCAGTGCCGTAGGTGGATGCTGAGGAAATGACAGCAAAAATCACCCGTGCCAAAACACTGACGTTTGCTGAGATGGTGCGTTTGCAGAGGGCCTTGTGCAGAACCTCCCTGCGTTGCTCTCTGAATGCAGTATTTTTACAAACAATTCAGACCGAGGACATTCCCACATGCTCTAATGCTGGCTGCTTCTTTCATACCGTGCCGAGTAGCTGAGCGGCACTTTAAAATGCTGTTCAAGCCGTTAAAATGTGGTTTGATGAGTAATTCAGTCACACTTTTACAATAGTGCTGCTCAAAGCAGCGGGAATCACTCTGTTGCTGGCACAAGCAAATCAAGAGAGAGGCTTCCTGCTGAAATTAACATGTCTGTATGAGAGACACCGAGGGGGGTCAGCTGGGTTATCCAGCCGGTGATATCATTGGCTGAAATGCCCATCGAAACACCTTCCCTGTAAACAGAAAGCAAAACTGTCCCAAAGCTACTATTATTTGTTAACTCAAGACACTTTCATAACGCTATATTCGTACTGCATGTCAGCAGTTTTCTCAAATTGTGTCTTTCTTATTTGTCGTAAGGGATTTTAAGAGAAATCTTTGTCGTCTAGACCAACAAGATGAGTAGAGTCGTACCAGTGAGGCCGTAGTCTTCGGCGGATCCGGTCGAGCAGTTGGCGGGGCTGATGGGGGGGCTGGCGGGGGGGCTGGTGCTGAAGCTGGCGTAGCCAAGAGATGAGCTGACCTCCGAGGGCTCGCAGCTGTGGTTCTGTAGGGGTTTCTGGACGTCCTGGGAGGAGGACAGCGAGGTCCGTTGCTTTGGCTATGACAGGAAAGAGTGAAATGTTAGCATTAGTCACTTAAAGAGGAGACTTTTACAAGTCTATTTTATATTAGCCAAGATGATAAGATCTCCAAAGCGATTGTAACCAATTACTGGCTGCTGGAGTCATCTAGAAGAGAGTGGTATCAAATTTCTGGACTGTGAATATGAGCGACAATGCATACATGTGTGGTTTATAATTCAACTTCAAATAATTAAGAGATGCAGGCTGAGTTTGGACATGTTTCACTGAGCAATGCTCATGTTCATGATTCACCAGAATTTTTAATCAAGCTTGTTTTTGAGCAAAAATTAAATGGAATCACATATTTTTAAAAGGTAAAAAAAAAGGTTTAAAGAAAATAAATTCATATTGTTAGATATAAAGTCGCACATAAGGGTGGAATTATGAGAAATAGTCACAATTGCAAGATATGAAGTCACATTGTGAGATATAATATCAGATTTTGAGATATAAAACTGCAATTACAAGATATAAAGTGGCAAATGAGAAAAAAAGGTAAAAACTGCTAAATATAGTAAAATGGTCATAATTACTAAAAAAGTAGTAATTGTGAGAAATTTGTAATTACGAAAAAAGTTGCAATTGTGAGAAAGTCACAAATGTGAGGCATATAGTCGCAATAGAAATAAAGTCGCAATTGCGAGATATGAAGTCATAATTATGGGAAAATGCTAAATATAGTCAAACTGTGAGATAAATTAATTATGAGAAATAGTTGCAATTGCGAGAAAGTTGCAATTGTTAGAAAGTTGCAATTGTTAGAAAGTTGCAATTGTTAGAAAGTTGCAATAACGAGAAATAGTTGCAATTGTTAGAAAGTACAGTAGCATTTACATTAAATAGTTGCAATTGTGAGAAAATAGCAATTACGAGAAAAGTTCTAAGTGTGAGTGTAAGTAGCAATTGTGAGATATATAGTCGCAATAGAAATAGTTGCAATAGCAAGAATAGAAGTCATAGTTATGGGAAACTGCTAAATAAAAAGTCAAACTGTGAGAAAAAATGTATTACGAGAAATAGTTGTAATTGTGAGAAAGTTGCAATTATGAGAAATAGTTCCAATTGTGAGAAAGTAGCAATTACACGAAATAGTTGCAATTGTGAGAAAGTCGCAATTAAGAGAAAAAGTTGCAAGTGTGAGAAAGTTGCAATTGTAAGATATATAGTCGCAATAGAAATAAAGTCGCAATTGTAAAATATATAGTCCCAATACAAATAGTTCCAATAGTAAGAAGTTATAATTATGGGAAACTGCAAAATATAAGGTCAGATTGTGAGATATAAATTAAATACGTGAAATGGTCACAATTGTTAGAAAGTCATAACAGCCTTTTATATTTCCATAAATGACTCGTTGTAAGAAAGGTTTAATGATGCCCATGCAAAACGATCCACAAATGTTGTGGATTGTTGTCAGGGTGTTGCTACACAGTTGCTGAGGTGTTCTGTCTGGCTGTTAACATGTTGCTGTGCATTTGCTAGATGTCCTGCATAATTGGTTAGTTATAGTTTAGATGAAATTCTGATGCTTGCTTTCACTAACGATTTCTGCAAATACATCCCAACAAGAATCACATGCACTACGCAATAGAGTTTGTCTACAGTAGAGAAGTAAGCCTGTAAGTAGGAGGTGGAATAGATGTGCGATACATATTGCTCAGCGAGAGGGAGAGACAAAGTGAGACAGGAGAGAAAACGGCAAAAAGAGATGACTATGTGCAGAGTCAAGCAGTTGTATAACCACAGGAAGCCTTACATAAACATCATCTTTGTTTTCAGTTGCATCACAGGTGGCCAAAATGCCAAATTAATTAATATGCATGAGAAAAATGTCTCTGATTTAAGTGATTTAATTTCACACACAAATGCACTTGCCAGAAAACTGGCTCCACTTGAAAACAGTGATAAAAAAAAGAGAGGGTGAACTGTGGTCTATATTTAACACACACACAAAAAAAGTATCCATAATAAATACGTTTAAAGCAAAAGTTTTTTACTGTACGTGCTTCAACCAGCCTTAAATCAATTTTCTTTCTTGTGTCATTGTTCAATAATGTATGGCCTCCGACCAAAGTAGATCTCACCACGTTTCTACGACCTGTTCGCAATATAATTCTTAAAGATGTTCTTGTGTCTAGACTAACTCAGTGTTGGAAAACTAATCCTTATATCAAGTCAGGAATCCTGGGGTGACTCTAGAGTCAGACCTTAGTTTCAGTAGTCATGTCAAAGCAATAACTAAATCAGCATACTACCATCTGAAAAATATTGCAAGAATTAGATGCTTTGTTTCCAGACAAGACTTAAGGTGATGATACACAGGGCAACTTTTTGAGCAATGTTGCTGGGCAATCTTGCCGAGCGATTGTTGCTTGTCTACTTTTCCATTGAAAATGGGCAATAAATTTCTATCTGGATAATTTAGATCGGTCGTGGGCCCTGTGTCTCATCTGGTTGCCCGTTGACGGCGACATTGCCCAGCAACATTGCTAAAAAAGTTGCCCTGTGTATCATCACCTTTAGAGAAACTTGTGCACCAGCAGGGTGGATTACTGTAATGGACTCCTCCACTGGCCTTCCTAAATAGACCATAAGACAGTTGCATCTCATACAGAACGCTGCTGCCAGGACTCTGAGCAAGACCAGAAAATATGAGCATATCACACCAGTCCTCAGGGCTTTACACAGTCTCCCAGTTACATTTAGGATTGATTTTAAAGTATTATTACTGGTATACAAATCATTCAATGGCCTAGGACCTCAATACATTGCAGATATGCTCACTGAATATAAACAGATCACTCAGATCATTAGGATCACATCAGCTAGAAATACCAAGGGTTCACTCTAAGCAAGGAGATTCTGCTTTTAGCTATTATGCTGGAACCAGCTTCCAGAGGAGATCAGATGTGCTCCTACAGTAGTCACATTCAAATCCAGACTCACATCTGTTTAGCTATGCATTTACTGAATGAGCACTGTGCCACTGTTCGTCCGACTGTTTGTACTGTATTTTATTTCATTTTTTATTCTAAACTGTTTGAATTATTCTTATTTGTTTTGATTATTTTAATTTCTTCTATGTAAAGCACTTTAAATTACCATTGTGTATGAAATGTGCTATATAAATAAACTTGCCGTGCCTTGCCTGCCTATTCTTTCCTCTCAGGGTAATATTCCATTACGAAATAAACAAAAAAAAAAGCCAACAGATCCGATTTTAATCGGGGGGAAATAATTATTTGTGTCTTTATATACAAAACTGATATTTTTAAGTTTCTTTACATACCATGGTACTTATGTTCTTCTTTGCTTATGTTTTGTTTGTTTCTGCAGTTTTGTTTTGCATTTGCATCCGTTTGATTCCTCTGTGTTTTTATTCGCTCATTTCATGCAAAGTGATTATTATCATTATACCAAGCAGATATTTGAGTGCAGTTTTTGATTTCATGTATACTTTATTTATTTAATTTAGAAACACTGCTCACTATTAAATTAATGCTTTTCAAAACCACCTGAATGAAATACCATTTACTGTTGGAAAAGAGGTGATAAAGATAGTTGAGCAAATGTGCGTATTTGACTATGCACAGCTACCACAGTTTAGCCCGAATCTGCAAATTCAGGCAATTTTCAATTTTGTTGTCAAACACACCTTGTGTCAGGAAGTGCTGCTAATGAACCTGTTACTCACACACAGACTTTCTGTCTCTCACCATGAACTCCTAATGAGTCGGTCATGGCTGACTGTAGTTAAATTAAAAAACAAAACATGCCTGTTCATCAAACACACCCACTGTCTCCTCTAATAAATGTTCTACAGCAGTCTCACACATACACACACACTTTGACAGATTTCTCTCCAAGGTGGAGATCAAGAAGCACACATGGTAGACTTGCATACACGTGCATGTGTGTCTGCACGTTAGCTCACTAACACTACCTTCATTACGCAGGGCATTATTCGGCGAACGAGTACAGAGTGAGAAATTGTGCGCTAATTTATGGATGGTAATTATGATAATTATTCAGTGGGCTTTGGGATCGCGGGGCAATAAATGCTACTAACGCGACTGTTTCACCTCCCAGTGGGGCATTCAGCACATTTAGGAATGCAGTACTGTCAATGCATATGCAGATCACATTCAACTCAAATCTCGGGGCGAGAATTTATAATTACAGAGAAACAATCAGTATTGATTTTATATGCTCATCTGGTTTGGGAAATACATTGAGTGACACAGGGTGTTGATCTACCATCTGCAGAAGGATCTCTGGGTGCATCTCTTGACACTTGTCAAGAACGTGTTTGAGTCAAATTCTCATTAGCATAATGTGAAAAACTCTCATTCATTCTCATAATGGGGGGGGGGGGGGGGGGGGGGGGATATATCACTGTAAACCCTAATGCTCAAAATAATTAATTGGTATGAGTAGGGTAAATTAGTTACATCAAATAAACTTTTACGAGTATTTAGAACTTCCTTTTTCTTTTGAGTTCACAAAACTGACACATTTTAAGTAATATGAATTGTTTCATTGTTTTGAGTTTTATGAACTTGTTTCTTTAATTTAGACAAACTTCAATTTAACTGAAAATTGGCTGGGATTTCTATTTCCCATCATGTTTTGCCATGACACTTGAAAGGTAAGTGCGAAAATTAATGTTTTTATTTTTTAACGTTAAGAGGGAGATTTAGTAGTGTTTAATGTTTTGCTATGGTAATTTAGAAGACTTTCTGTTATGTTGGGTGTTTTGGGAGGTTGCTATCATGGTGACGAGTATGAGCTTGGTTTGAGAACAGATATATGTTAAATGTTTTATGTTTCTGTACTTATTCAGCAATAACTATGCTATGCTAATGATATCAAAGCATTGTGTTACCAATTAGCAAGTTAGCATTTACTGAATTAGCTACTTAAAGTTAGCCAAGTTTACACTACTAAAAATATTTAAGTTAATGATCAGTTACAT